CACCCAACAAACAGAATCAGGTCGTGCCTGAATGATAGCTTCATTCACCCATTCCCAATAGCAGCCACCTGTGTTAGCAATATAAACAAGCGCAGTGTGTTATTTCTTCTCATCTCCTTCAATTGCATTGTGGAAGAGGTTTGGGGAACAGGCTAATATGCTTGCAGGTCAGCTGATTCCCTTGCTGCTTTACTTTATTTTATTTTATTTTTTATGCGTCTCACTGCTGCCCAAGGGGAGAGGTTTGTTTGAACACAGAGGATAGTAGGTCAACCTCTAGCACATTGGAATTGATCAATCTCCATGGGGAAAGCCTGGATCCCCAGGCCCCTGGAGGGAAAGCAGATAAAGCAAAGTGGCTCTATTTCTATGCACCGTGCAATTTTTTTTAAAGTCTCTGGAGTAATGTGAGAGCTCATTTTCTAGGTCTGATGTTAATAATAAAAATCTATCAACCTGAGACAAAACAAGGTAAATGATTCACTGTTTTAAACATTGACGGGAAAGAAATTATACAAATACATCAGGAGCTTGACTTGTGGTCTCCCAGGAGAGTAATTAAAAAGCTACATCCACTAAGGCCATCAAAAGACAAGACAATTAAGAAGTTCAGCTAGCAGAAGAAGTGAGCAAACATTTTCAAGAGAAACAAGAAGAGAAGGGAAACCTTTTTGACAAAGCAAAAACACTAGCAATTAGCTGCTATATGCAAATGTACTGTAGAGGTACAGTGCATGCATTTTACCCAGGCTTAGTATTATTAGGTACTCTAATTCCTCAGCAACTGATGAACAGCAAAAAAGTCTTGCTTGCTATTTGTGTTAGATCTAGCTAGTGGCTGAGGAAATGGAAATCCCACTCACAGTTTCTCTTGTTGCCAAAGATCTGTAGGACGAATATATTCCACTTCCTTTTGTCTCCCTGTCTCACTCCTTGAAGATGCTTTTCAGTCTTAGTGTCTCACCTCTCTTTATTGCCTTTGACCGTCTGTCTGTCTTCATCTACTGTACCTCACTCTCTCTATGTCTCTTGAGTAATCAGGGTGACCCTGAACTCTGTCCTTCACTGCCAAGTATGTCGACAACACAATGCTGTCTCATTCTTAAGTTGGTAAATATAGACCAATGACACCCCTGTGTATACTGAAACGTGTGTACACACACACACACACACACACACACACACACACACACACACACACACACACACACACTGCCAGATCGATTTAGAAAGATCTTTGTGTACAAGCAGCTAAAAGATGAGACAGTAGCTCCCTGTACAATGAAACCCCAACAGCTGAAAGTAACAGCTGGAACGGCCTCAGGAGAACAACTGGCTGTGGTAATACTACAAACTGCCACTAAAAGAAATATATATTTATTTCAGCCCTCTCAGCACTGTTCCACTTGGGTACAAATGTTAGAAAATTAAAGGCTAAAGCACTGGGGAGGTAGATGCCCGTGGTGAGAGAAGGAAGATCCAAAGAGAACGGGAGAAAGCGAGGAAGAAAGAAATGATAGTTGAAGACAAAAGCAAAAAACAATAAGTAGTATTTGAAAAGGAAACAATCTGTCACATTAACAGTATGACCAGTTAGTCTGTTTTTAAAAGAAAGCAGTTGGTATAATGCAGGCTTCCTGTGTGATTGCTCGTGAATACAGAGCAAAATCTTTCTACTGTTAAAAGGATTGCAATGACTTTTGGTTCAGAAAATGATGATGATGATGCCCACAGGATGAACCCTAATAATTGTCACCAGCATTTCATAATTCACACACATCCTCAATAGCTTAGCATAAACGGCAGTAACATTTATGGCCCACTGATGATTAATGTACTAGAGTAGCTTCACTTATACTTTCTAGCCCCTCAGTTTGCAATCTGTTTAAAGTAAAATGTTTTAAATCAGCTTTCCTCTGATTGGCTACCCAGTCAGTGTTCACAGAGATGACCATATTAGTGGTATCTGCTTGCAATGACATCAGACAGGGCCAAGAGTTGAAAAAAAAAAGTTTGAAACTTAACCAAAGCAGTCCGAATCCTGAACTTTTGGCTCACAGGAATACTTGTACATATAGTCACCTTATCTGTGGGTGTATGTGTACTTTTAATCTCCTTTTAGTCTTTTGTTTTGCTACTTGGAGAATGATAACACGTTCAAGGACGAAACTAATTTGAAACCTGTTACACAGGATTGTGTTTTTGTGGCTGGCTTTAGTAATTAGTTCAGTAAACACTGGATGTCATAGTTTCAAACTTTCCAGAAGTTTCCTTTCATGATTTGACTTCGAGTTGATCCTCTGCAGCACGACTTTTTTTCACATTCTTTCCTGCCTTTCGTTTGTTGTCTTGGCCACTGTTTCGTCTCATTAAATATGGCACTGTATTCCCAAGAGTTTATTGGAACTGTGTCTATTCATGTTGCTCTCAAAACTTTTTATCTCTGGAAACATAAACTTGACTGAAATCCACTTTTTGGACATTAAATCTGCAAACAATTTAAAGGAAATTGACATTTTACTATAAGTGGTACAAGATTTTCTTGTGTCTAGTGGTCATTTGACTCACAGAGACTCAAAGCATTCATCGTTTAAGGCCATAGCAGTGTATAAAAGGTTGAGGAGTTATTTATAAGCTTTTAGTTGCCACACCTGCCTCTGGAATATCAGTGCACAATACAAGCTCAGGTTGCCAGGCTTTCTTTTCTCATACATACATGAGCAGTGACTGTCTGACTAAGAATAACTGCTGAGACAAAGCAGCTGAGGGCCATCTTTATTAGTTCCTCTTTCTCTGAAGGAGTCCTCAGCTTTAAGGTTCACCAGGACCATCTAATGTCAGTGCCGTCTTATATTTTTACCATAACTGCAGAACAAAGAAGAGGCCTTTAACGTGTTTTCTTGGATCCTCAGAGAGGCATGAATGATTTAGCACGTTTGTTACAAAATTGCTGAAGTGCTGTCATGCTCAAAAGCTCGATGGGAGCAGCTTCTGTCTGTTTAGTGCCTAATTTATTTAGGCCACGTATGCAGATCAGTTTGTTTGCATACAGTACAGTCAATTACATTCAATTACTACACGTGCCAGGTTAAACATGTACGGGAAGCCAAGAGGAAATAAATGTTTGCAGCACTTTCAGAATGACTTATGTGTTATTAATCATTAATGCTTATTCACAATTCATGCTTGGACTATACTTTTACTTCTTTGAAGTACGAATAAAAGCCCAAATTCCGGGGGGGGGGTGCTCATGGAAATCATATCATTTCATCTGAAGCTCACAAAGCGAGAGGTTGACGAGAACTGTTATATCCAAGCTGTTTCTTCTGACTGGTCCAGAATATTTTATATGAATCAGTGGTGGCAAAAGGAAAATTAGGAGAAGCTGTATTAACTGATTTAAAGACAATAATTGATAAGAACCTACAATAAGAGCGAAAACTCAAACAACTTCCCAACAACTGACAACCTGAACGCAACAATAGATTAAAATAACCCAAATTTCTTGACTTATCTGATCACAGTAGAAGACTTGGAGAGAATAAGATACTAGGCATGACACTTGTGAAATGCCTTGAAACTGCAGACTCCTTGCTCTCTACTGCTGCTAAAAAAGTTACTGCAAGCACCAACTAACAGAGAATACAACTAAATAGATCAGCTTCTTGTCACAGATACATGATCCATCTTGAGTCCTCTAAGAAGGATGTGATACTCGGCTTGGTGGTGAGTCATCGGCCTTTGTCAACAGGTACCTCATCACAAGCAGTCACTTTACAGGTGTGCAGTTGACATTAAAATAAAAGGTGGATGTGGTTTGTGTGACTGAATCACAATGTTGTCTCTAGTTATTATTAGGCAGTGTTTTCAGTTGGACTTGGGAACTTTTTTGAGTAAGACTCTAAAACCTCATATCAGAGAAAGTTCTAGCATACGCCAATCTTGGAGGCCAGGTATTTCTTTCCTTATTTTGCAGTTCATGCTTAAAGTAAATCTGGCGTGACCTGAGCCAGAGGCAAGAATATGAAAGGATACGAGACATTTCCTGCATGGCATTACATTTTTTCATGTGGGGTTGTTCATGTTTTGATAAGCAACAATGTCATGTTATTATTTTCTGATAACATATGATGAATTACTCTGTTTTTAATGCATTTAATCTCATTTAACTGAATATCTCCATCGTCATGTGATACCATCAGTTTGTGTCATCATATTTACCTTTTGCGCCCTTGAGCAAATAGCATAGTATGCTGGGCTTAGTAATGAGAAGTTTACACACCATGCTGACAAGAGGCAAAGTGCAAAAATGCACGACACTGTTAGGTTCAGACTGAATGTTCTTCCCAGTGCTCAAAATTAATTTGGTATCAGTTTCAAGACTTTAGTGAGTGTTGTTCCACTGGGAAACTAAATATTACTAAACTTTCTTTGCTATCTTCTCCCCCAGTGGTGATCAGGCCCAGAATAGAACTTAATGGACACCAAAGTCTGCAGGATGATCCATCATTTCCTGGCCTGCCTTGACAGCTGTTTCCATGCCTTTTTCTAATCAAGGGCCCATTACGAGATCATTAGAATGCAAGAGAGGAAAGGAAGGGGGCGAAGTGATTGGTTCCAATTACATGCAGACTTCTATTTATTAAATGACATGGTCTTGACGAGACGTAGGTGCCCTCTACAAGGGGATGGCAGGAAAAAGGACGCCAGTTGTTGTCAGTCATGTTGTTGTTGGATGTATCTTTACTTTTAAAAAGGCTTGTCACCACAGAGCCAAAAGATGATCGTCTCCCCTTTATATTTACTAGTTGGCATTAAGTAGGTAGTTTATTAATGCTAAATAAAGCTTGTTTAGCTTTTAGCTCTTCTGAATTGCCACCCAGATCTAATAAAGAGGTCTGCAGGTCTGCTTTAGCTGATTGGTGAAGCAGTTTAGTGTATGAAAAGCTGAGAGAGAGATTAATGACGGCGTATCACCTTCCTTTACTGCCTCTCAACAGACTGACAACTTACAAGAGCTGACTGATGATCGGTGCTTTCAAGTTGGTGTTAAATGGTAAGTGGACTTTTGAAATTTTCAGGTATCTGTACTTTGCTCAAGTATTTCTTTTTTTCTTTTTTTTTTCTCAACTTTTTACTTTTACTTCCTACATAAAAAAACAGTACTTTTTACTCCTTACATTTTCATACTTTAGGTTTGTCTATAGTGTTTATGTTCGGGAGTTAAAGTGGGCAGGAAGCTCCTGGTGACTGTAGGACGTGCTTGAAGTACTTTAGCATTTAGCTAGCTCCACAGAAGAGGAGTGAGCATGAAGCTAGTAACAATTTTAAGTAGCAGGTAATTTCAATTTCAACGTTTCTATCAGCTTAACAAACATCAGCAAACACACAAACTGTTTGTGTGCAGTTTGTTGCTGAGTGTGCTGCTAGCTGAAGGTCCAGCTGCTGTGAGACAGCTGTAGGAAGACAGACACACAGGGGAGGAAGTAGAGAGGTTATATTTAAAGGTAAGAGCTGCTTTTTAAAATGCAAATGGTCAGAGTTGGGTTTACATCAAATGCAGAGATGAATTTGCATTGAAGCGGATGAGCCTTAGATTAATTTACTGAATTGCAGCTTCATACGGTCTTAGTGTAAAGACAGTATAAACAGTATAGTGTCAGAATAGGGGATGGACATCAGACATCATAGCTTTTAAAACTGTTGACATCGTTTTGAATTCAGTTGTGTAAATCTAATATTAGTATAGCACAAGGTTCATTTACCTTTGTATAAAAATTATTAATAGGATTCTCCTTCAAGGAGCTACTCTTACTTTCTTACTTTGATTACATTTCAGAGCCTGTACTTTTTCACTTTTACTTGAGTAAAAACATACGTCAACTTTTAATGGAGTATTTTTAACTCAGGTGTCTGTACTTCTACTTAAGTAAAGAAAGTCTGTACTTTTGCTACCTCTGTTCTTTTCTACTCTACCTGAGCACTCAAAGCACTTTTTAAGCCTAATCTACGTATTACTATTCTTATGACTCACAAGAACTCATATTTTACAAGAATTAAGTTAGCAATTTACTCTGACATAGGGAAATTAATCAGTGTTGTATTCTTCTTGTATAATCTTTTCTTAAACATCAGATTTTGTCTTTGATGTTTAAGGAACGTAAATAACTGATTTAGCTAATAAACAAATGAGCTCTGTGTGAGTAGAGTTTAAAGTTATATTAATCAAAAATACTAATAGAAAAGTGTCTTTATCCAGTAACACAATCCTATCACTGCATATATATATATAGAAATAACAAATGGTATACAGTGTACATTATAAAAGTACAGGTCATCGAGAATCAATACATAATCGGCAACTGATCAATTCAGGCAAAAACAAAACATCCAGTCACTAGGGAACAAACTGTATTCCCTCACCAGTTGGTAAGTGCCTGCTGGAGTTCAATGGCTTTCCTTAGATGGTTCCACACCAGAAACCACCTTGTGATTACTTTGGTCACTAGCAAACTGATGTGGTTATTCATAGTGTGCCTTTAAGATACCATAAAGTCTGTAAACAGTTGCCCAATGGTTGGCAAGCTGTGGTGAAACTTGAAAAAGTGCAGCGCAAAAAGGTAAACGGGGAATATTTGCCTTCAGAGTAAATGTTGTGCCTTACTGCTGCAACCGAGAAATGTTACCAAAAAAAAGTACATCTTTTAGTTTGAGGGCAAAACTTTTCCATTTATGGTTTAAGTTGGCTTCTTCCATGCTAACTATTGGCGAGTGCAGCCATCTACTTGCATGCAAAGTTTTTTGGTGCAGCACAGTATACCTCTCTCATCCAATTTCACCTAATAACTGCCACAACTCATTTTTCTCTAACAATCTGTGGTTGCATGGTATGTCTGATAACCACTCGCTGGCATGCTTACTGGTCTCTAGGCCTCTGTAACTTAGGCCCAATGCAAAATGGCAAAGATCAATTTAATTCAGCTAAATGGACTTTTATTTGGGTTCAAAGAGCTTCACAGGCATAAAAAAATCACTTATTAAAGCAGAAATTTATACAAACATAAAAACCATCAGAAATACATACCTACAGAAGCGCACACGTAGACATGTAAATAATATATAGTCAAACATAAAATCATGTCAAGCACAGAAAAATATGAAAACCATCTTGGAAGAAACAAAAGCAGAAGGTCAATATGATATTGATGAAAAATATATCGATAAGCCCTGCATCTACCAGACTTTTAAATGTGGCTGAACCCAGTTGCTATAGCTGTTGTTATTAATTGTATGGACTGTTTAAATGCCAGATTAAAAGTTTCTTGTTTCAGAGTTTGGGGCTATACTTTAGGAAGGCTGCATCCCCAATCCCCAAGAATATCAAGCTATTTATAGCATTATCTTTGTTAAACATCTTGTTTCCCCTCATTCATTTTCATACTATTAACACACATTGCTTTATGTCTTATATCTGTAAGTAACTGGCAAGTCATACACACTCTCTTGTGTAAAAAGACAAACTATTTTGCAGTCTTTTATTAGCTGAAAGTTTACTTTCTCTCTCTATTATCTTATGAGGATAATGAGAACCTTTAATGAAGGACCTTGAAGATCAGAGTACAGAGTTATTAGCTATGAGGCATGGATGCATTTCAATAGACCCAATTAACTCTCTGCACCTTATCAGAAAAGACATAATTAGAAAACAGATGGCTGCATCTGAGATTGGAGGGATGTTGTTGATAGTTTTATGACGAGACCCCCAAACCTATAGCTGTTATGTACGGAGCCCTGCAGGGGACATGGGAGAAAAAATTAAGACTGACTTATGCTAGATCTCGCAAAACAAACTCGGGATCTCGCAAAACTTTTGCGAGATCTTGCAAAAGTTGAATTCCAACAATAGCGGCAGCTACTTAGTTGTAATATTACTCTTTCTGGGTCACAAAATACACTTTTAAGATATTTTGAGGCGTGAATGTAGTTGTGTAAACGTCAGATACCTGCTCGGTTTACAAGACATCACATATTTGCAAAAGTGCTCCGACGTTTTCGGAGATCTGACACCCACCATCTCGAAGCTAACGGGAGGTCGAGACCAACTACAGCCGGGAGGAACACCGCTTTCCCGGCACATCGTGCCTCGACCTCCCGGTCGGCTTCGAGCTGGCGGCCTCCGAAGAATGCAGCTAAAACTTTTGTGAGATCTCCCGAGTTTGTTTTGCGAGATCTCGCAAAAGTTTGTCTTCATTTTTTTTTCTCCCATGTCCCCTGCGGGGCTCCGTAGTTATGTTCTCTGAACATCTTCAAATATATTTTCTTCAAATAAGTTTTTCCTCTTTTTGTTGTATCTCTCCAAACTAGAATTTTGCATTGCTTGGTTATACAAAAGATAAATTAGCTGAACATGACCCAAAATAACACTCATAAAGACTGCTTTGCAAACGAAATATCACAGGAGCTATTAAATATTGAGATCTCTATTAAATACTTCAACAAGGATGTTTAAGGTCATAAATTGAGCATTTTTTGAAAAAAAAATTTTTTAACGCTAAGCTAAGCATTATCGTAACTGTGAAGGCGGGTGGGGCAGCATGAACACCAAGTTTGTGAATGCAATAACTAAGAGACAACACAGGATTTTGAAACAAATACCATCGATGAAACTACTAAAGATTTTGGGTGCGTTTGAATCCCAGTGACCTTGAGGTCAAATTTTTTTTTAAATGTTATGAACATGATAGCTCAAGAACGAGGGGAAGTAGGACTTTCAAATTCATGCTATAGGTGCATTTACTACAAATCTCAGTCAAGTTGCAATCCCAGTAACCTGGACATCAATGTCAGAGGTCAACGTTTCAGAAAATCCCTAGGATTTTCAAATTTAAACCATACAGTAGGTGCTTTTGTTAGGAGGCTGAGGGGGAGCACTGGCATTTTTTTTAGAATTAACAATATTGTAATTTATATGAAAAACAATAAGAAAAGAATTGTAATCAAGGTGTTTGTTTCTGTAAATAAATACAATCAGCCTTTGAGTTTTCTGGCAATAATTGAAATGGGCAGTTATTTATGCAACTGTCTAACATGGTTGCCTGCGTGTTGTCTTAACTTAAGTGGCCCAGGTAGTCAGTCTGTCAGTATACTCATTGATCCAGGGGAGGCACACTCCCTCAACACTGTCTGACACTCAGTGGGTGCAGAAGCATTGGGTTCATCCAAACTGCTATTCCCCATTGCAGGTTCTTTTATAGCTGTAAGACTCGAGGGTTTGCCCTGAGATCTCCTATTCAATCTTGTCAAGGCTTGAAAGTGGAGAAAGACGGCTTTCTGACAGACAAACTACTGCTTGTTACTGCTCCTAGTTTCTTCTGTACATCTGTCCAAAGAGGAGCCAGATGGGAAGATGTGGGGCATGAGCTTGAAAGCTTGACAATATGCTCTATGACATGACTTTCTAAACACAACAGATAGAAAAACCCTAATTTCTCAAAGACTTTTTGAAACACCACGGCTACAGTTTAAAATCCTCTTGTTTGCTTTCCTCACTTCCTCACTTCTCCACAACACGGTTTGTTCTCATGTAGGTTGTTGTCCTACTTTCCTTCCTTTTTCTTTTCTGGGTGTTACCCAGTTTCTTTGTCTCTCGACTACCCACTTACTCTTACACACAAGATCCTTTCACATACATTTCATTGTTGTCGCTCTACTTTAGTTTCTTTCTTTCTTTCTTTCTTTCTTTTTTAATTTTGTTGGAGCAATCTGTTACTCCACTTATTAATCAACCAAAGAAACGGAAAGAGTTTTGAAATATTTGCAAGCCTTGCTCACCTTTGTACGCCCTAACTGGAAAACTGCGATTGTTTTTAATTATTTGTTCCCTATGTAACAACATCCCTAAGGAAATTATGTAAATTTGTAAACCTGAACCTTACTTAGAGTTTCAATCTAAATTATCTGACTTTTGATCTAATTTAGTGCTCAGTTCAGATAACATATTCATAGTACGTGATTTTAAGATCCATGTAAATGCTGAAAACACTCAACACTGCATTTAATCTATTATTAGACTCAGTTGGCTTCTCTCAAAATGTAAATGAGCTCACCCACCACTTTAAATAAGCCCTGGATTTTTTTCTGAAACTGAACATTTAGCAGTATTACCTGAAAACCCTCTTTTGTCTGATCATTTCTTAATAACACAGCAGTGGGGAATAAATCTCATTGCAGTAGACGTCTTACTGAAAGTGCTGTAACTAATGTATGTAATTCCTTCACTTTTATCTTCAATGCCGTGTGCCAGTAGAGTGCAGAGCAGCTACCTAAACTCTACTCGCACAGAGGTCAATTATCTTGTTAACAGTGTTAAATCATCACTTCATACAACTCTGGATACTGTGGTTTCTCTGAAAAAGAAAGCCTTAAATCAGAAGACCCTTAAAGCAGAGAACCTTTAGTCTGGAGAGGAAATAGCATCGCACTAATGTAAAATATCTTTGTTAGCCTGGAAAAAGAATGTGTTGGCCTATATAAAGCCCTATGTAAAGCTAGGACTTACTGTTCATTAGTGTTTGGATGGAAATTGGAACAACCTCAGGTTTTCAGCACTGTAGCCAGTCAGCAAGGCTGACAAAGAGTCAAAACTCTGTTGACCCAAGCATTCCTTTAAAGCGAACTAGTAATGACTTCATGAATCTCTTTTCCCAAATAAAAATTAATCCAGAACATAAAAAAATATTCATAATGAGCAAGCAACTTTGAATACTACAGATATTTATTAAGGCTCTCCGATTGATCTTTCTGAGTTAACTTTAGTAATCACTTTCAGCAGCTAGATTCTATTCTGACAAGACTGCGCAGCGTAGCCCTACCATTAATTAACACTTTGATCTTGAATATCATCAATCTATCTCTAAACGCCATAAGTCTTTAAGGTTGTGGTAATGAAATCATTACTTAACAAGGCATTGCTTAACCTAGATTTCTTAGCTAATTCTTAGCTAATTTCAAAAGTTCTTGAAAGCATAGTTGTAAAATATTTATAGTAGTATAGTAGTCATATTTACTCCTCTGCAGATTTGAATAATATCTATCTAGTAGATTACAGTTTGTTCATGCAAATGGGGAGAATTCCTTACACATTAAGGTTAATTATGGATGCTTCAGTTAAGCTTCTCTTGCTTGGGTCTCTGTTAAATCCAGAATCAAATTAAAAATCCTTTCCCTCACATACTAGGTTTTGAAATCTAATCATCCATCTAATTTTAAAGACCTCGTGGTACCATATCACCCCAGTAGAGCACTTTGCTCTCAGACTGCTGGCTTGCTTGTGATTCCCAGGACGATTAATAGTAGAGGGGGGTAGAGCATTCAGCTTTCAGGCCTCTCTTCTGAGGAACCAGCTTCCAGTTTAGCTTCAGGAGAAAGACACTCTTTACTTTTAAGATTAGGCTATACCTTACATTTTTGATAAATCTTATAGTAAGGGCTTGATTAAGTGAGCCTGAACTCTCCCTTAGTTTTGCCTGGGTCAAAACTAAGGGGGCTGCTATGATGCATTGATCATTTCTTCGTCGCTACCTCTTTTAACTCTTTGTGTTTATACACCACACTGCATTTAATCATTAGTAGTTATTAAACTCTCTTCCATAGCATGTTTTTGTCCTGTCTCCCTTCCCTAAACACAAACCAATCATGGCAGATAGCCGCTCCTGCTTGATGCTTTTTCTGCTGGAGTTTTCTTCCTGTTAAAACACTACACTGTCGCGAAGTGCTTGCACATAGAGGGTCATCTGATTGTTGGGGTTTTTTTTGTATTATTGTAGTGTCTTTATCTTACAATATAAATCACTTTGAGGGACTATTATTGTGATTGGTGCTATATAAATAAAACTGAATAAAATTGAACTGCTTTTCAGCTCCAGCACTCTACTAATGTTAAACAATATCTACTTTTCCCTTTATGTTTCAGACCTATTCTCTCTTCAAGAACTGATGAACCCATTCATTTATATGTAAAGGGCAGAGCAGGAGCCCCATGTTCATTCAGACGCTTGTATTTGGATGAAGAGAGTTGCAGAACACCCAAGGGCTGTGAACTCTATTGCACAAAATATTTTGTGTCTACTTTTTTGTACAGAACAGCGAAGCAAAATTGAACCTTAGCTATCAGCATCATCCACTAATGCAGGAGTTATATTGTTCCTTTAAAAATAAAGTAAAACACAGTACTAGTTTTATAAAAGATACAAGATAAACAAAAAAGCCCTCATGGGGAAGCTGTCTGGACAACCTGGCATTATCTTTGACTTTTAAAACCAATAATCTGCTCCACAATCTGTCACATTAGACAGTATCACTTCTTTGTTTCCATGTAGCTGTCTAGGTGCTTTACTTCTGTGTCACACATTTCCAGGAGCTTTGGATTTCAAGTAATTTCTACCAGGCAGCATGGTCATAAATCTAAGCTTCTGACATGTTCATAATGTAAGTTTGTGACGATATCGTGTCTCAGGATGTATTGATTTAAT